TTGACTCGTCACTTTTCCATATTTGTACCTAAACTGTATTTGCCAAGTAAATATTGCATTAAGATATTTAGTGATATTTCAATGTAGTATTATAAGTAAGGAAAGATTACACACACTTAAGTTATATAACAATTTTGTATTACGATTTTTGCTAGGCAGGCCAACTTAGAGAAAGGGGAAAGGCTGAGGTATGGTTCCGAAGAGGGAATGATTAGGCGGTAATTCTTTGCTACATGAGTGGACTCGCCAAAGACTAAGTCACCAACTCCTAGGTCTTAAAATTTATTTAACAGTCCAAGTTGCCATGACTGGGCATTCCTTCAGGTAATGCCAAAGAGAGGGTTGCAGGCAGGCAGGCAGGCAGGCAGGCAGATAGATTAATGGACACATTGATGGATGGACAAAGAGATAGACAGATTGAAATATATGTATGTATGTATGTATGTATGTATGTATGTATGTATATGTATATGTATATGTATATGTATGTATATATATGCATGGAAGTATACATAGTTTTTAGGTAAACAGATAAATATATTTATGCTTGTATGCATTCATCCATCCATTACAAACAGTCCATGCATACATACGTTACAAATGGTACATCCATAAAATAAATATAGAGCTATGTGGAGAGAAGGAGAGAGAGAGAGACAAAAAGAAATGATGAAAGATTTGGGCATTTGTTATCAAATGTTTAACCACAAATTAGCTCAGAAAGATAAATGGAACAAAGGACTTACTGAGCTTTGTTGCTGTTTCTTTCTTTATTTCTTTAACCCATTCACACCCTGGATTTATGTTCTGTCCTCTAGTTTTTGGTGAATTTTGTTACATACAGATGGCTCCACGTGTGCTCAGCCGGCAAGGAGTCTATCAGTAGGCCCTGGTGACTGATCCTGATTTCCCCATCCCTTGAATTGGTGGGAAAATGTCTTCATCTTATTAATACCATTGCTGTCGATGTTATGATGTTAAGATTATTAAATTGCCATTAGAATATTTTAGACAATGAAATGATACAAAAGACCCTTTCCTAAAGTGAAGGAAAAGGGTAAACAGATGAGATAGGTAGTTCTGATAAACTGGCTATTTGGTGATTAAGAACTTGTAGAGCCATCTATGTGTAAATGCAATAAATAAACGTGTATTGCAGTGGGCATGGCATGTATTCTTGCCACATGAGGCGAATGGGTTAAATGGTTGTGCATGATTTCTTTGCTTTCTCATTCTTATTTCTTTTCTCTTTTCTTGAATTTGTTTTTCCTCAACCATGTATGTAACTCAATATAAACACAACTTGACCTTATTATATAAAAAAGAAGGAGTAACAACAGATGGTCCATGCCTTCATCTAAGTATAGTGCTATTTAAGGTGTTTTTAAAGCATTTTTCAGATGCTATTAGATATGCTACAGTTCAAGATGGCAAAGGCTATTGCAAACTTCATAAAATGCTAGATTCTTGATAATTAGATTACGTTGCTGTGCCTCATCATTCAGATGAAACACACTGTGAGATTTCCTCCTTCGTAGTCCAATCTTTTTCCCCTTGGTAAATCCTCCTCTGTCTTCCATTCACCTCATGGCCTGATTTGCAGAAATGAATATTCTTGAACTTTTTCAAAACTGACAGGACTTTCTCAAAGGTAGTTACTAATTTCTTCTGTAATTTGACATGATTGGAGTGAACGCAGTATTCATATTTGTCTCAGCCTTTTAGTTTCTGACACCGCATCCTGTCCAGCAGACGTGAGTAGAGATTGGAGTTGTTCCTTATTGAACATTAATCCTCCTGGGTATATATTCATATTAATTGCAAACTTGTTGTGAGATGCCTCCGAGAAATCAACGTTGCAAAGCCTTGAAGGATAGGCAGTATGATGCCAAGTTTGCTAATGATTGGCCTTTTGAATTGAGGGTGTTTCATAGATAGCATTTATAGACAAATTGAACTCTTGGGACTTTTGTTCTGGTAACTGGCTTTTTCCAGACATGTGTACCTCGGCAACTGTATAAACGCATCTGTTGATTGTATGTTAGTGCAGGATGAAGCTACCGGTATTATATTTCTGTATCAAATAGCCACTTTATTTCCAATTAACACCCATGCTGCACTTTGAATACACCTGCAAGTGCCAGGGTAGCAGTGTATAGAAGAGAATTTCATGGCTCTCAGTGGTGAGTGACATACAGTGGGGTCATCTTGGCAGAAGAGTCCTGTCAATTGCAGATTTACCAAGCAAATGAGAAACAAGTCCAATTTCTGTGTTGCCAGATGTGGTTGGGATTTATTGGCCTTTGCTGGAGGGCCCAAAATATAAAGATCAAGGCAAGAGGGAGTTTATTTTAAGGTTCTAAAATTACTATTCTTAGCATTGTGATTTTTGTCAAGTTAACTAATCACTTTTATTTTCCTTCTCCCCCCCCCCCTCCACAACTCTTTTCCTCAACTGCTTCCTTACCCCTCCGTCACCTCTTTCCTCTTTCTCCCTTTCCCTTCTTCCTCCCTCCACCTTTTTCCTCTCCTTTCTCCCCACTCCTCTTTCATTCCATCCCCTCCTCCGTCTCCATCACCAAATAACCTCCTCCTCGCCAGCAGCAGCTCCGCAACGCCAGCCTCCCTCCTTCAACCCCAGCTCCTCCTTCCTGCCCTGTCCGCGTCCAAGCTCCCCTTCTCTTCCTCCTCGTCCTCCTCGGCCTCCTCCTCCTCATCTCCCTCCTTCACCCTCTCTCGCAAAGAGGACTTCTGGGCCAAGAATCGCCGTCTCAACAGGCCTGTGTCACCACATCTCACCATCTACAAGCCACAGGTAGGTTACCATTATTTCTCTCTCTCTCTCTCTCTCTCTCTCTCTCTCTCTCTCTCTCTCTCTCTCTCTCTCTCTCTCTCTCTCTCTCTCTCTCTCTCTCTCTCTCTCTCTCTGGCAATATACAGAGTCCTAAAAGATAGAGGCAGAACAGAATACGAGATCAGTGAGTCGCAACTAAAGTTAAATGGAATTATGATGCCAACATTGCCGTCACAGTATATTCCACTGGCGCTCCAGGACACCGAAATCAGCTTTGTTGTATAAAGGGGGTTGAGCTGTTATTAATACTATAAATACTATTATAATATTTTTTAACATTAATAATAGCAATATGTGATAATAGAGAATATTTCCAAAAAGCAAGAGGGGTTAAGGTGAGGTAGGTAGTCCTGTCAATTGATCCCTTGGTGAGTAAGTGCTTGTGGAGCCATTTTAGTGCAAAGGCAATTAATCAGTTAAACTCATAGTGGACTTGGCATGTTTGGACATGTCATTCCAGGCAGTATTGGGTAATTGTAAATGTTGTTAGATTTGGTATTGATTAAGATATATTATTGGAAAAGTCATTTCTTTTGCAATGTCTTCTACTATTATCATTACTTCAACATTGACAAAATTTTTCTCCGTCAGCTGTTTTTGGTTGGATCTGTATTGTCCTCAGCTCCCTAAATCCTTCGGATAAAAGGGTGTGAAGCAGGTTGAATACCCTGCACATACATGCTCATACTCAAGCTAAGGTCTGTCAGTCATGCCAGATGAGAGCCCAGCCCAGCTTGTAACCTTGGTCCCCTGTCATGACAACCATGCCTGTCTCTCATCTCAACAAGGCCCATGTATTTACTATCTATAATGGATGAACTTTCTCCTGTCGTCAAATATTCCTCTTATTTTTCTTGTTTCTCACAGTCCTTCTTACCATCTCTTTCTTGTATCTTTTGAATGTGTTGCTCAGGATATTTCTTTAGCTCTTGTTATCTCCCACAGGTTACTTCACTGCTGTCACTGAGTCACAGAGCAACTGGCCTGGCACTGTCTGCTGTGATATCCGGCTTTAGCATTGGTAAGGAGAAAAGGGGGAGGAGGTTGAGACGGGTGAGAAGCAATGAGATGGAAAAGTGTGTAAGGAGTACAGGAGAAGAAGATGAGGGAGAAGAAAAATAAAGAGAATAAAAGGAATGGAGGAGAAGAGAGGTAAAGTGGGCTGAGATAGGGAAGGTGGTTTAAGAGTAAGCAGGCAGAAGGCATAAACTTGTGGGGGTGTAGTTTTGAAGGCTCTGCCTATGCATTTTTTGCTGTTTACCATTTTATTTGGCCTATATTTATTTGTTAAACTATCAGTATAATGATAGGCTGTTTTTATTTTAGCAAACTCAACATTATTTCTCTATATAGTCTACAACTTTGTGCAATAAGAAGAACAATATGAAAGAATGTGCTGTTTGTGTTATTTTGATTTTTATCATAACACACCCTGCACTACTGATCAAGATGGACAGGAATAAGTTAGAAATAGCGTCCTCCCTGGAGTTCTTACTCTTACAGATGATGGCTCACAAATAGTACATTCCACCCTCATTAACCAGTGTGAATAAGAATGCGTACAAAAGCCCTTTTCTAAAGGTTCACAGTCTAATCTGTCTACAAGAGCTTTGTGCTATCATAGCAAGATGTCTGCTCCCCTACCACTCAATGACAATGTCTCATGACCAGACATTATTTATGACAGCATGTTCCTCTCAACCACTTTTTTTTTTTTTTCATTATTATACATGACTGTCACCCACATTCATCAGGTTAAGTATGAATGAATGACAGAGGAAGAGAGAGACTTTGATCCGACCAGTTTAATGAGACAAGTGGTTGCCTACATTTTCCCCAAGTACTGTAGCTCTCCCATTCTTTTTCACAGGCATGCTGGCTGTCCCTGGGTCATACCCTCACTACTTGGAGCTGATCCAGACCATGGCCTTTGGACCTGTGATCATCTTTGGGGCCAAGTTCGTCCTTGCTCTCCCCTTCACATATCACCTCTGTAATGGTGTGAGGCATCTGGTAAGTAAAGCAGTTGACATGTTGAGAGTTATGTCTCATCTCTTCACTCTTATATGCAAATCTTTTGTTTATTATTTTTTTTCTTGTCTGGTCGTCTTCAGAACGGAATTTTGGACAGATAAAGATAAGACTG